ACTTTCGCCTTTGCCACCATCTGGATTAGGCTGTGGCTCTGACTTGGGAGCTCTGCTTTCATCGTGAAGACAGGTTGGATGTCGCAGTTTGCAAACATCACACACGGATCTGCGACGGCACTCCTTGCTCTGATGTCCTCGCTTAAGACATCCAAAACATAGACCTTTGGCCTTTACATAGTCTGTCCTTTCAGTTGGAGGCAAACTAGACAGACGTTTGCACTTGTCAGTAAAGTGACTGACGTCACTGCAGTATATGCACATTCTTTTTGCTTCTTGCTTGTCAGATGTCAGTGCAGTTGACCCTTTCCTCTTTTGCACCCTGTCTGCCTTGGCTCAGCGCTTGAGACCTCTATGACGAAGCTACCCTTTGAACGATTTGTGTACTTGGTGATGGGCTTCGCACCTTTGCCTTTTGCATTTTGACTCAGTGCGTCTCTGCCATATGTCAGATCCATCACCTTCTCCGCTTCTTCCTTTGCAAACCTTACAAGTTGGCTAAATTGGATGGTTTCCCCCTTTTCTTTGGTTTGCTGAACAACATTTCTCCACCTGTCATGCAGATATGATGGTAGTTTTCCCACCAACTTCCTCATGTTGTCTGGATACTCAAGGACCTTTACTGTTTGGATGCTTTTCACAGCATTTTCACATTCCACCAGTAGGATGGAGAAATCATCGAGTGCTTTGGGGTTGTCTGGACGAACACATGGCCAATCGAGTGCTTTCTTAATGAAGGAGTGGGCCATGAGATGCATATCTCCATATCTTGACTCCAACTCGTTCAGAGTTGCTGGATATCCTTGCTCAGAGGGAAGGTGGCTAAAACATGAGACAATTCTGTTTGCCTCTCCTGTAGTGAATTGCTCCAAGTAGCTCAGTCGCTCGTCATCATTTTCGGTGTGTACTGCCACTTTCGTATTGAACTGCCGGATAAACTTTCGGTAGTCAGCTGGATCCCCACCAAACCGCTTGATCTCTGGGATGGGTCTTTTCAGTTGCCGAACAACAGAGAGAAGGATGTTGTCACCTGAAGTGGCAGTTTCACTTCGGTTGTTGCCACAGTGCTTGTCACCTGAAACAGAATGGTTATTACATGTTATGGCATGCAATGGCACTGATGGACTTTTGCACTGTACACTAGCATTACTACTATGTTTACCTTGTACTTGTGCACTACTACTACTTTGGTTACGACTCTCTGGTACAAAACAATGAGCATTTACATTTAGTGCAGACTGACCCCCATTAGTCTGGTCTACTAAATCTGACTGGTTATTCGGTTGCACTGCTGCTAACACAGTATTCTCAGTGAGCTGCTTAACTGAATTTGGATTCTTAATAACTGAACCTGTATTAGATTGGGGCTCAAAACTGTCCAAAGCTCTTTCTTTTGCTTCAACAATGTCCAGTTCTGTAGTCAAGTTCAGCTCTTCTTCTTCCAGCTTCAGCTTCAATCTTGCCATCTCGATGGCCTGTTTCTTCTTGAGCACCTTCCTCCTTGCCTCCGAGGCTGCTTTCTCCTGCATCGCCTTCAGTCGTGCTGATGACACAGTGCTAGCAATGGAAGCCTTTGAGCCCCTTCCAGTCATGCGTGATATGATATAAAACAAAACTGATCGTCGAATTAGGAGCAATTCCAAAGACATATTTTTGAGCCTGCATGTACCAGTAGCATACACATTTGATTTTTCAATTTTACGAATCAGTTCATTTTATATTCACAAATCCCATGTCCCCATTCTTAAAGTTGCCTGTTACTTATTGCAAACATGATGAACATTGGCCCAAAGACGGATTTCCTTACGGATCCTTGAATTGTAGAGTTTTACAGTGGCGGAGCGACTGGTAACTTATTTGCTAACCTCGTTTCATGTAAAATTCACAAACCGGTCCGCGTTCGTTACATTTTCTGCTTCAGCGGAAATAACGACGGCCAACTTATACCGATTGTGTACCAATTTTGGATTCATTTGCATACCTAAGCTCCCTTTTCGATCCAGAATTAATTATTGGGGGTGCAACCCTACACACAGCCGCTTCGGCCCTGTCGTTACGTTCTTGCATTGACTAATCGATTTTTTTTCGTGTAGCAACAAACAAAAGTCCTAATTTCGTGTGTTCTTTGAATTTCTTATTCATTTATGTTTTATGAATTCTTTGTCTTACCTGTCGTTTGGGAATTGCTACATTGAGATGTGTGGACACCAAACCTTTCTCTTTTGTTAATTGAAGGGTGCCCTTCCCCAGGATGACCTCTGAGTAAGTACTATCTGTTCCACTTTTAATTGCGAACTGGAAAGTCCTCTATTTTTGACCTTCAGTGCTAAAACTGAACAGCGCTCACAGGGGTATCTCATCGACCACTGTGACCCAATAGAGTACTGAGGAGTGACGTCATTTGGCCAGGGAAGTGGAAAATAATGGAGCACATGCAAATGCGAGACTTTAAGAAGCTGATGACAGTAGACATACCTGTTTTTTTCAAGGTATTACGCGTGCTCAGAACTATTCACGCATGCTAAAAACAACGCCCGCATGCTTAGAACTGGTAAAAAGGACTAGCATGTTTTTTGCTACCAAGCGTCTTAAAGTCTCCCATTATTGGTTCGCCAGCTCATGCTTCGGTTCTCTATAGATCTGTAACAACGACGTAACGCTTTGTTTCACGTGTGCTTATCTATCACAGTGAGGTGAGACGCAGTCCATGGAGCTCCCGTAGGAAAACACACATGTAATCAATGCAAAACGTTATTGTGTTTTAGGTTTATTGGCCCAAGTGGTATTTAATGCGCGCGTGCCACATTGCGTGCGTGCGGAGCGATCGTAGTAATGGCTAGATTCTAGTAACAGGTAGCGTTTCATCAAGCACTTCGCGGCTGTGTTTATGTGTAGTTGTAAAGCGGCTGGACAGGAGAACACATGCACGAGTGGCACAACCACGAGGCCTTTTCCATCTTGTCAGGAATTTCTTGTAATTTTCTTTATGTTTTCGTTAGGGTAGCAAAAATCTCAATCAGTCATAAGTGAGTGGGTCAGCACACATTAAACCTATTATGCAAATTGAAAGCATACGAAAGATGGCAAGCATGGCAAGTGCGTCGGCAGCCGTGAGTGCAGGTCAGTTGTCTGATGAGCATTTGGACAGTTCTTAATAATATGCTGCTGGAAAACTTCACCTTGCCGAGTTTAAACCTTTCCAGTGTTACGCTATTGAAGCATCTGTATGCAGGGGTGACGTTTTTATCTCTACCCACGGGATATGGTAAGACAAGGAGCTCCACATTTCAAGCACTGCCATTTTGCTTTGACCATTTGGCCTTGATGAACTGCTAGTGTTACTCCAACGTCAGCACAACCCCCTACCAACAAGTATCATAGTTCATCTCACCGCTTATTGCCCTCATGAAAAACGAGATGGAAATGTTGCATAAGCTTTGGAGTTGATGCCGTTTATTTCGGAGACTCATCTACTTCAACTATTTACATGAAATTTATGAATAATGCATATCAAACAGCGTATGGGTAATTCACCACAAAAACCTCAAAATCAAGTCGGAAAAGGCCTCGTGGCTGCGCCACTCGCCTGGTCTCCTGTCCAGTCGCTTTGCAGTTACACACAGCCACGAAGACCTTGACGAAAGGCTATGTAACACGATGATGTTATGCGTATTTCAATTCCATATTCATTGTGTGCTTGTAGGACTCAATGGACCAGTAATAAGCACACACTACTAACTGAACGTTAATAACTGCAACTTCTGCCTCACCTAAACTCGTGTGTATGTCAAGTTATTTGACAAAAATGTGTCTGTTCATTATCCTGTCGGAAGTAGTGGCGCCACCTCCGCAGGCTTTGTATGCACGAATCAGCGTGGGCAAGCTCGCTTGCATCTTGTGAATTTTTCGCGAGGATTTTCCCCCGTTTTGGTTGTATAATAATTGCAGCTACTTCTCTTACAAATAGTCCTAACTGAAAGGTGGGGGCAGCAAGCCTTCGGGCGTATGCCCATCTAGTGCTGAAAGAGTTTGTGCGCGGAGTCTATGGCAAACATGACTGTACAATGTTGCAACCTTCATTTTTGAAAGGGGATTTCATCGGACATATGGTGATATTAGGGTAAGGATAAAAGGTTAGGTTACAATTTTAGTAAAAATGTTAGTAAATCTGTAAAACAAATCAAAACAAAAACCAGCGAAAAAATCAATGATAGTTTGATGCGTTTGAAAGAAAGACGCACTGTATGGATGCCATTCTTACCGCTGATTGGCTTGCTCTCCTACATCGTACTCTGGCTTAACTTGACTTCTATGCAGTTGAAGTATACATGTAGCTCAAATTTGACGTTTGACCTGTGAAACCTTTTAAATGTCAACATTTTAAAGCGCTGAAAATCCCCACATAAATTATTTGTACTGTTTGACTCAATACTTTTCAGTCCTTAAACATTATGTACCGTTATTTTTAAACTATTAGACATTAGACACTGAAGACTACTTGTGGAAGGATATTCATTTTTCTTGACTCAATTTTCCATCCCTCTCAGGTTAATTCACAGCTGTGTAAAACTTAGCCACATTTTTCTTCCCGATTTTATCTATTCCATGTGCACAATTCAGTATTTCCTGAAAAAAGAGGTCTAAAAGTTTACGGAAACCTCCTCCAGTTTTTGTAAAAAAAAGCCTACCGCGGTGCAGCGAGCAGAATACTCAACGTAAAGACGTCACCTGGGCGCGTATCAGTTCTACTTCCTGGACGAGTGGCGGCTGACACAAACAATCTTCTCATGAGTATTCATGAGGTGCAGTAAAACGTAATTATGGCTATACAGTACCGACCTCTTTTGAGAGAATGGCATATTTTATTCACAAGCCCAATCATAAACAGCGGAGAGTATTCAGATCGGGTGAAGTGCTTCTCTTTAGCGATATCTGCAGACACTCCCCCTTTCTTCGGGCGATAGGCGGACTGTTTAAGTCAACAAAGTAGTTAATGCACAATGAGTCTAATTCAGTGGCTGAGAGATTTTTTGAGCTCAATATGTCGCAGGAAACCTGTACAACAGGGAGTGGGTTCAACACCCCTGAACCGATGCCTTGGCGTAGCTGATTTAACAATGATCGGTGTTGGAACTATGGTCGGTTCCGGTGCTTTTCTTCTGCCTGGACAGATTGCGGGAGTGGTGGCAGGACCGATTTCACTTCTGACTTTCTTCATCTCAGGACTGATTGCTTTGTTGGCTGGGTTTTGCTGCACAGAGTGCGCCTTGCAGATTCCTGAAACAGGCGGGTCGTACTCGTTCGTGTATGCCACACTTGGAGAAATGGTCGCTTTCTTCATTGGTTGGATTAGCGCAGGGGAAAGAATTTTTGCGCTAGCTGCGACAGCACAAGTCTGGAGCAGCTATTTCGACGAGGCTTTAGGTGGCTACATACAAAATGCTACTGTCAAATTTGTTCTTGGGGGTGAGGAATGGGATGCCCCTCTTCTTAGCAGCTATCCCGATTTTGTCGCTGGATTGGTGATTCTCGCTTCCTGTGCTCTTATTTCAACTGGCACGAATGTATTCTCCAAGGTTAACAACGCATTTGTGCTGTCGACTTTATTAACTCTTATTTTAGTTTTCGTCGTAGCGATGATTCACGCAGATTTCTCTTACCTTCTAGAGCATGGTTTTGCTCCTCGGGGAGTTGGACGTGAAGAGGTTGTAGCAAGTATAGTAAGTGCATACATAGGATACGCTGGTTTTGAAGCTATCGCACTGAGTGCTGAGGAAGCTAAGGGTCAATCGAAGGATCTCTTGATGGGGTTATTGGCTGCATTTGGTATCAGCATGCTGGTATACATGGCTGGATCCCTCTCGATCACCGTATTAACGGAATACAGCAACATCAATCTGAAAGCCCCGTTTGAAGCGGTGTTTAATGAACTCGATGGTTTACGTTGGATAAAGTACATTGTAGCCATCGGTGCGCTATGCAGCATAACGGGTGGAGCTCTAAACTTATCTTACAGTTTGACCCGCTTCATTTATCCGATGTCAAGAGACGGCCTTTTGCCCGCCATGTTGTCCAAGACCCACGAGAAGACCAAGACGCCCATATTGGCTACTGTGTTGGGAGCGTGTTTTTCAATCGTTTTTGGTGTGTTTGTTGATATCAAGTTTTTAATTCAAGTGTCTTCTATGCTATTTACGCTGGAAACGGCCAGTATTATGTTTGCGGTAGTCATTCTGCGTTACACACCCACTACGCAAACTGGACGTATGGAAGTAGACGGCAAAGATGAAGGTTGTTTCAAGGAAGGTCTATCTTCACCACAAGTAAATCAACGCCAGAGCTTCAAAGAAGTGAAGAGTCTGCGAGGGCCAAAGCAGGAAAGCCATGCTGACATTATCGATGCTGAAAGGGGGCACTCAATGCGTGCATCTTTGATCAATAGGGCCTCAACCAGCCTTCTTCAGTGGATCAGAAAACATCCAACCAGATCTGTGATTCTGTGTCTTTGCTTGCATGGCACCTTGCAGTTCCTCTTCATGGGATTGCTAAACTTCAACCTGGAGGACCTCTTGGGAGCCAGCGACCCTCCTTTAGTACTTGGAGTAGTCATCAGTGGTTCCCTGTCTGTCGTTGTGTGCTGCCCTTTGTTGCTTCTGCCGCAATACAAAGAAGAACTCCTGTTCAAGGTAATATAATCCAATTTTTTTTGCCAGAAGTTGGGCGGATTTTGTCTCAGAGCCAAACGTTTGGGAATCCCTCTAAGTAACTTGAATGGCCCTCTAAGGGTGAAGGCAAATTTAGCCTTTTAAAACATTTTTGAAGGAAAGGAGACGAAATAACCCCCTTCCTCCCTTTCTCATTAATTTTAAAACCAACTGTATTATTTTGTGGGGTGGTGGTCTCTGTTGTCCCCCCCCGGTCCATGCTCTGGATAATATATTATGTAATCTTTCAATAAAGCCTTACGTCACCATTGCAAATACAGATGTATGATGATGTTACAATGCAGATGCTGGGCGATAAAGTAGGACTTAGTAAAAGAAAACCACGAATCATCTTTTCTTGATAAAAAGTGAAACATTTAAAAATTCCATGCTCTTGAAAAGAACGACACGATTTTTGTTTGCATGACAGGTGCCATTGATGCCACTCTCACCGCTGATTGGCTTGCTTTCTTGCGTTATTCTCTTGCTACAATTTGATTTTCTAGCCTTCATTCAAGTCCTCGTGTGGACATGCATAGGTAAAGTATCACGTGGCTATTCTCTTCACAGCCTAAAATATATTTAATAAACACATAATAACGTTATCAAAATATGAACCCAGATTTTTAAATAATAAAATAATGAAATAATACGTCAAGATGGTCTTATCGTGTTTGTAAAGCTAAATTGCAATTTACAATCCGGCTTTTATTCCTAAAATAGGCTTTTATACTTAATGCTCCATTCAATTGGTATTCTTCAAACTCTCAGAATTGCGTCTTCAATATTAATTAAGTTCCCAGGTCCTGAAATCATTAGGACAGACTCAGAATTCACTTTCGAACTTCAAATTTTATGAATCCAATCTGTGATGTTTTGAGATCAACCTCATGCACTCCTTATGTTTGAACGAACAGGAACTACTACTTAAATATGAAAAGTTTACTTGAAAGTTTGCACACGTTTTTAATGATTTTAGTGTAATGTTTCCGCCTTTTGACACTGGACCAATTCCGTTCAGTTCTATAAAGATGCTGGTAAACTATTGCTCTGTGGGTCAGAACTTTCCCTTGTAATGAAGTAAAAACAATCCCATCACTACCTAAAACGAACCATTCACAAGGTCCATGACTTCTGGCTAACAATCACCTGCGAAGCACAAACGACCAACCGGTAGCGGCTTTACAAGGAAAAGCAAAACTATCTTGTACAATATAATGGAAATCAATATAGTTTATATAGCATTTGTTTTTATGGGGGCGGTTTCGGTTCAATTGTTAAATGGCTGTAACAAGTTAAATGTACGAAATTCTTACAGTCTGCAATTTTGCCTTTCAGGATTACTCATGTACTTCACTTACGGCATAAAGCACAGCGTTGAAGGAACGCGACAAGATGGCTATGAAAAGTTTCAGTGATTTCAAACTTTACTCTCCAATGTCAAGCGTATAAAAAGTATTTGAACATCTTTAATCGAATGACACTCCTATTTCACAACGTCATTATCTCCTGCTTCAAAATGGCTAAATCTTTGTTCTTGTATCTTTGTGATTGGATCCCCTGAAAAATGATTTTGTAAGGGAGTCGTTCAGCTTTTCAAGAGTTTGCTGAGAAAATTTTGCTAGTGAACCGTGAAGTGATATTGCTTTTCCTACGTGTTGAGCCATAATATGCATGTAAACGGTTACATCTCTGATCAAATATGTTTCCTTGTAGAGTGTGACCCAGTTTTTGCTTTTGTCTGAAATTGTGAGAGTTGTGCTGGGTCAAGATCAGTTTTTACCATGGCCATAATGACAGGGAAGTTAGTCCATAGCTTAATGACTTCATCAAGATTTTGTGTCACCGGATAAGTGATTATAGATTGATCTCTTGTTGGATTTTCTTATGTTTGGGGCCGATGAAATCACGGTTAATCATCAATTTGCTGTTTTTGTCAGTGTCAAATTTCTAGTAATTACCTAATCCTGAAACAAACATTTCAAAATTTTGGCATTTAGAAATGTCAACATTCTTTTGATATTTTTTGGATGTTGTCTCGAGTTTTAATATCTTTGATGAGTTGACGAATAAATTGATCAGAGATTCGTAAGTACATAAGCAAACGGTCCATCACAACAGTGCAAACTTGGATTGGCAGCATCGGTATCCGATTGCAGTTAAAGTGTTTGTTTCTGGGGCCTCGTAATTTGGATTCTCTCTCAATCTCTTCCAGTGTAAGGGAACCTTTACAGGTGTCGGTCATTGACTACTCAAGTGTCATATCCCGAAATTGAGAGCTGGGGCATTTACATCAACACCAAGGAAGATCACAAGAACAAGGGCATATTCCCATAATTTCATTCAGACATTTGAGATCAGCACATGACATGTATTGCAACTTGACCTGTTTCTCATTCATGCTTAGCACTTTCTTCCTTTGAACAGTTGATGTAACATCAGCGATAATTGGTTGTATTTCTTCATACTTTTCCGGGACTTGTGCGAGTGCAAGAACATGATCACCTGACTTAATACTTCCCTTGATTAAACTAAAACCAATGTTTGTCACACTATGACTAGATCCAAATGAGGTTCCATCCCCCTGTGATTTTCACACTGACAACATTCCCATCTGCAATTTGACTTTCTTTGTTGGAATTCTGCATATTTTTTTAGTGCATGGATAAGCTTTTCTTCCAAAGGTCGGCAAACGGCAGGCGATTCAGGTACGACCTGACAGCAAAGAAACTGTTAATCTTTTCTGCCTGTGACCTTAAAGAGTACATACACAGCACACTCATTAGACCAAAAGGAAAAGCCACTGTCTTTAACAAGTTCACGAAGGACCAGATTGTTGACTTGAATTACCCAATCATCTTTAACACCACTAACTACAGTAATGAGAAAGACATTAAAAAGTACAAGCAATATTACTCTTGTATTGCCCATAATTCCCAAGATTAAGCGTTGATATGAGGTCGTAGTTCATCAATCCTTCCAGTTCTTTGACGAAGCGCAATTTGCATGTTTACCCTCTGTGAGTTGATTTCTTCTGAAGACTCTATGTTTACTCTGCCAAGCACGTTCGTTCAGTCAGCCAAACTTGAATGGTACCTAACTGATGTATGCTGTGTCACTGTACACGTTGCCAACACGATACCACCAGCCTTTTCCCCCGAATGTTTTTTAAGTGCACACGGTCAGCTCGGTATACGACTCTGCTGCCTTTGTCATATGTCGGTGTGCCCAGTCCAGATGTCAAAAGTGCAAATGTCTCCTTTTGAACTGGCACTTTACTATAATTTCGGTTTCCTGAACAGGCGACAGGTTCAGCAGTCTTTTAACCTGCAACTTCAAACAGCTCAGCAGTAACTGATAGGCGTCACTTTTTTCATGTTCTGCAGTATCAGTAATATCTGATGCAAGATGCCACTCATCAAATGATTTCTGCCATCCCTCGTAGTGCACAAGAAATTCTTCTTGCCCTTTGGGATTCACACGATAGTCAATTATCTCTAAGCGCCACATTTTTTTGTGGACCACTTCCCAGATTTCCTGCTGATGCAGACCACAAAATTAAGAGAATTGTAAGCCAGGTCAACAAAGCAGCAAAGGTCGGGCAAAACAACTGCAGTTGGTCCTGTCAAAGTTGCCAAAATCCACGTATGCAGTTACTCTTGGGATGCAAAGAGAAAAAAAGTCACCATGAGCTCGAAAGTTAACGGAAACGGTGGAAGTTAGCTGAAGAAAATACAAAAAAGCCAAAGAAAAAGTGCGTAAACTGAAAAGGCTAGCAAAATATGCAAATACCAATGCAATTCGGGCAAGAGGTTTGGTAAACTGAGGCTTATCTGAAGAGTATCCCGGAGAAGAAACGTCGTAAGAAAGGCTGCCTACTATAAGAACTGGTTAAGCCAAAGGAAGAAGTCTCTTTCTCTTGATATGCAACTCGTGTGGGACCTCCTCCAGCAGGATGGTCTTTTCCTAAAGCACCTGAGGGTTGCAGACAGATACGGAAATGTTATGGAATTCTCAACACCAACCTTGTCTGCGGCTATAGAATTCAAACCCCCACTAGACCAAGTGAAAGATCGCTATTGCATGTCAGATTTATCCTACCAAGAACTTGTTCTGTCATGTGGTGCTCCTAGTTGTCTTCATTGTACTCTTTAAGGTCACAGGCAGAAGAGATTAACAGTCCCTTTGCTGTCAAGGTAGTACATGAATTGCGTGCCGTTTGCCAACCTTTGGAAGAAAAGCTTATCCATGCACTGAAAAATTTGCAGAATTCCAAAAAAGAAAGTCAAATTGCAGATGGGGATGTTGCCAGTGTGAAGACCACAGGGGATGGACCCTCATTTGGATCTAGGCATAGTGTGACAAGTTTAATCAAGGGAAGTATTAAGTCAGGTGATCATGTTCTTGCACTCGCACAAGTCCCGGAAAAGTATGAAGAAATACAACCAATTATCGCTGATGTTATATCAACTGTTCAAAGGAAGAAAGTGCTAAGCATGAATGAGAAACAGGTCAAGTTGCAATACATGTGCTGATCTCAAATGTCTGAATGAAATTATGGGAATATGCCCTTGTTCTTGTGATCTTCCTTGGTGCTGATGTAAATACACCAGCTCTCAATTTTGGGATATGACACTTGAGTGGTCAATGACCGACGCCTTTAAAGGTGCCCGTAAACTGAGGACATTGAGAGAGAGAGTCCAAGTTACGAGACCCAATAAACAAACACTTTAACTGCAATCGGATACCGATGCTGCCAATCCAAGTTTGCAATGTTGTGATGGATAATGTACTTACGAATCTCTGATCAACTTATTCATCAACTCATCAAAGATATTGAAACTTGAGACAATATAAAAAACCCCAAAAACAAAAGAATGTTGACATTTCTAAATGCCAAAATTTTGAAACACCTGTTTCAGGATTAGGTTTTTAGTGGAAGTTTGACACTGATAAAAACTGCAAATTGATGATTTACAGTGATTAAGAAA